CTAAAGCTCGACGTACGCATGAAAACCTAGTACCGGTGTAGTGCTCTACCGATATACTCTAATACCTAACTTAATACTTAAGATGAGAACAAATTATATTTGGCAAGAATTTGTGCAGGAATTATATTTCACATGCGTTTATTCATGTTCAAGTGTTGCTTATTTGATCGCTTAAAATATGAATAATTTTTCAATTTTATTTCTAGCATTTTGGAAGTTTTAGTTTTTCTCCTCAAGCTACTGAAATTCTTTAGTGAAGTCTTAGAAATGGTACTGAAATTGAATAATAAAATTGTGATCTGATATGTACAAATAAATTGTTTTATATATGCTAACATGTTTAGAGGTTGTAGTAAAAAAAAAAAAAAAAACATCTTTTAAAGTTTAAATATTCCACCTTATGATCTTATCAATTAAGAAACTAAATTGTCATTGATTTCGAATTTGTTCAACTATCGCGAAATCGAGCATAGCTGTACTCTGAAGGAAAAAAAAAGTTTGTTCAATTATGGGTTGAACTCCATTTTCGTATCCAAACATTCCCAAAATAAGGTTGAAAAAAATAGATGAATTGTTTTCAATTAAAATCGGAGAGATCTCTCCGTCCCTTGCCATATTGATACTACCCTTCTTTAGCGATTTGATTGAAAAGGAAATTTGATATCTTAAAGAATAAAATTTGGTTTTTAATCTTTTAAACTCGTATATAAATTTCTTTTAATTAGATCTTTCCATTAAAAAAAATGTCAAAATTTGTCAACAACAAGGAAAAAAAATGATGATGTACCATTTTAAATTATTATTTTATTCACATATTTTGAATAGGCGTGAAATAAATTGCAAAAGAAAAAAAAAACGATCTCACATCCTGAGATGAAGGCACAACATGATCAATTGCAACAAGACTCGTATGCTTCGTGACATTACATCAAAACTCAACTCACTCATCAACAAAATCCTACCAAGTAATCAACAAATTGTATTTCTTTCAAATAACACACGTGTCCAAATTGGCATGATTATGCATCTAAATATATGCCGACGCCTCAACTGATTAAGATAAATATTCTCGATCAGAAAGTCATAAGTCCGAATTCACACCTACATATGTTGTTGTGTGTCAAAAAAATATATGTTAGTTAAATTCATATTATTTATTAATTATATTATATAAATGATTATTTGGTCTAACTATACATTAATATAGCCAAACTAATTAGGTATGAAATGATGAAGAGTTAATTAGATTAAGGACCATCCTTAACCAAACCTATTAGCTATTAAAATAGAGCGAAGACTTTCCTCGTTGAGGGCTACGTCCAATCTTCCATTCAGATTGGGGTAATTAACTAATAACTTATATTGTGATACAATAAACTCTCCTAAAAATATCACTTAAAGGTCCCAAACAAAAGTCCCTATTATAAATCTAATAATACTTAGATATAGGAATAAAAATTACAAATATAATCAAGATACTATACCCGAACAAAGATCATCTTGATCTCTCAAATTTGTGATGCCAACATCGGAGCCACTGCCCCGAAGAACTGTGGCTAAAAAATTCCCAAAATTTGGCTGCCCAAGAATTGGAACGGGTACAATTTTTTCTAAGGCCACACATATATAAAAAGAACTAAACTAAGTCAAACTTAGCTTGGGTTTTTGGCCCATTAAATATCATTTCCCTTTTTTCTTTTAATTTATTTTTGTATCCAAAAACTCAACACAATATAATTATTCGTTATAAACTTTCCTAACTATTTTTTGAAAGTAAACCGGAAAATATTAATTGTTCTTTAATGCGCTAAATAATATATAACTGTTTTATTAATTTCGATCTAATCAACCTTTTTTTTTTTCTTTTTTTAAGTTCCAATCAATTTGCTTTCATTTTAACAACAAAAAACTAAGTACTTAAAACTGTGATGTAAATTAATTATTATTTACAAACTAAGATAAAAAAAAAAAATGTTATATTTGAAAAAACTAGATGTGGTTACTATGTTTGCTAATTTTATCAAAATTTTTGTCATATTTTTAATTGCCCCTTTAATCAATCTATTTTTTATGAATAATAATATAATTTAATATTCCCATTTTTAATTTAGTCAACTGAAGAAATTCACATAATTCATTTTATTTTTATAAAAAATATTTTTCTAATAAGATGTCTAATTCAACAAGGCAAAAGAAAAGATTTAGGGAGGGAGAGATACACATCCACAATAATTACTAATTACTTGAAATGTTTTATCAATGCTTTTCCAAATTAGTTGTTAAAATGAACGAACTTCAAAAAATAAGCTGTTATGTATATGTCAAATCGAGCTAATCGATCATCGTTCTATGGTAATTGACATATATCTCAAATTAAGAGATTGTAAGTTCGATCACAACCTCACATGTTACATTGTAATAAAAAAAACTATTATATATATAGCAATTTTTAGTGCATTATTAATATTCATTCAAAGCAGTAACAAGAAAAATTAGTATGATTTCAAAATCATTAAATTCTAACTTCTGGTATTATTAATAAAAATATTCTAAATTGTTCTTAAAAAAAATGTAAACGTCCGGGAGAAGTCCAACTAAAGTTGCACACAACTTCAACTTTATCAACAGGAACGACCTTGGTAAACATATATCCGCCGGATTTTGACAACTTGAAATATTTTCAAGCAACAACGTTCCATCTTCCAAGGCTGATATGATAAAATGGTATCTTATCTGTATGTATTTTATTCTCGAATGAAACATTGGATTCTTTGCTAAATGAATCTCAATCTGTCACAATGCAAAGTCCCTTTTCCCAATCTCAAGCCAAGTTATTAGATTCCAAGAAAGATTGAAGCCATATCATTTCTTTGCTTGCTACAGTAACTGCAATGTATTCAGCTTCTATAGTAGAAAGTGCTACTATCATCTGCAGTCTGGAGACCCAGCTAATCGCAGTATTACCCAACGTAAAAATATATCTGGTAGTACTCTTTCTGCCATCTGTATCCCCTGCAATATCTGCATCTACATATCCCTACAGTTTAAAATCTGATATTTTAAAGTGCAGAGCATAATCAGTCGTCTTCCTCAAGTATCTGAATATCCACTTCACAACCTCCCAATGTTGCTTTTGGTTACTCATATATATACCTACTGACAACTCTCACTGCATGTACAATATCAAGTCTTGTGTAAACCATGGCGTACATCAAGCTTCCTATAGTTGAAGCATATGGCACTCTAGCCATATGATCTCTTTCCTGCTCAGTAGTCGATGAGTGTGCTCTTTAGATAATTTAAAATGACTAGCTAAATGAGTACTCACAAGTTTTGTATTTCCCATGTTAAACCTGTTCAACACTTTATTAACCTACTCTTTCTGTGACATCTTTTCTCTCTATCCTTATCCCTAGGATTTGTTTGGCAACTCTCAAATCTTTCATATCAAATTCGTTAGATAATTCAGTCTTTATCTTTAGAATTTCCTCTTTGTTTGGTCCTGCTATAAACATGTCATCAACATATAGCAATAAAATGACGAATGAGTACCAAGATGATTAGCTTAGCTCAGGGTAGTTGACGTCTGGCTTTGATCAATAGGTCATGAGTTCAAATTCTCACCCCTCCACTTCTACCTATTGTACTCAAAATAAATAAATATTCATAATTGAGTACTAATAATGTATTCATTATTGAGTGAGAGAGGCCAATGGTTGAATATTTATAATTTATGGTATGCATTGTCATTGATGAATTGCATCTCATAGTGCCCACAAAACTAGTGGTATGTATATAAAGATTAAAACCGATGTTGATTGAAGTTCGAATTTGAATATATCAATAAAACATTCGATTCCTAAAAAAATTATGATAATACAAATAATAAAAATTTATTTAAATTTATGATCATCCCTATGATTTTTTTGTTAACAGTTTTTTTATTTTGTTCTACTAGGTATATTCATTATATCAAAGATATTGATTGATCATTACAATATATTGATGTTGAATGCTATGATCTATTTTATATATCAAAATATCGACGAATATTTTAATCATAAAATTTTATATATAACCCTTTAATCTTAAAATTTTAAAATGAGACCAATTAAAAAGAAAGCTTTAAAATTACAACATTATTTTATATAACTTCCTAACCTAAGATGAATCAAGAGGCTTTCCTTCTTTTGTCCATCTAACTAATTAATCATAACTAATTAAACATATATCACAAGATTGGAGGTTCGAATTCTCACCTACATGTTCATCTAAAAAAATATACTTAAACAACCCCTTGTTAAATTATTTCATCAATAATGGCCTAAACTAAGAACATACTCATGATGGAATCCAATTAATAACCCATTAATTAAGAGAGACACAAGAAATAATATATAATTTAGAGATATTTTTGTTTTATGAGAAGAGAAGAAGATACGCACGTAGGTTGTTGCCCTACCTATATAATTAGCTTCGAAGCTACATTTGCTCACTATATCACTTTTCCTCTTAGAAAGTTTCTCCTCGCGTTAGTTTACTTTCGTTATATAATTTATACTAATGTTGTTACATTTTAATAAAATTTATCGATAATTAAATATGAGTTTTTTTTATGTTTAATTTAAGAGTTTAAGATTGAGAGGTTTTATCAAACTTTATATAAAATATATTTTAAAAGAAGTTAAAAGAAAAGTAAGAATGAATTGTGCTTTGAAAGAGTCGAAAGAGAGGTATTTATAGGAAACTTAAAGTTAATATAAAAATTAATAAATTTCTTTTAACTTTGTTTATACATAAAACTTCTCAAATCTTTAAACTCTTAAATTAAATACCAAAAAGAACAGTCAACCTTTAATTATTGATAAATATTAAAATGTTGTTAGGGGTGAGGACACATTATTGAAAAACAAGAAAATGTATGCAAGAATTGCAATCATTTAAATCGAGTGGCATAATTTTCTATCGGAGGCGATGAAATTTTTTATATTACCTAGAAATGACAATATTATTAAGACATTTTATTTTACCTGAAAAAGGACATTTAGAAACGTTCCAAAAACACATCCACGCATATCTATGTTCGATTTAACTCACTCAATGCATCAGACAAACCTCTAAGTATCGTCAAGTACTACTTCTAATTGTGGAGTGCTAACTTTTGTTTATGAATTTGAGAGGGTAATTTCACATCAGTGGCTAATCCAAGAGCTTGAAGGACCAAGACTACGCACCATGTCAAGTCAAATTCCCACCATTGAAGGCCATGTCGAGCCGAGTATTCAAAAGCATGGTGGTTGTTGTGCCAACCCTCCCCAAACGCAAGCAATCCTATCCACCTGCCCACAAAATATCTAATTCATTAAACACAACATGAACATGTTTGATTAAGAAAAACAAATTGAATCTTAAAAAACAGAAACATTTGTGGAAGTGACAGCCGCACCAATTGTTCTTCGACAAATCATTGGTGTCCCAGCGTCTGTAGCCCCATATGTGGCAGGCAGAATTTACGAAGAAAGTAATGTGCAGCACCCAGACAAGCCTCACCCCCTGCCATTTCCCATCACAATCATCAAACTCCTCATTAATTTTCTTACCATCTCCTTGTAAATATGTCTGTTTCTTTTTTGTTTTTATAATTCGGAGTTGTAGGTACTTTACTCTCCTATACTCAAGGGTACGTACCAACGCCCATCCCAAGGCTCGAACTCAAGAGACATCTAGGATTTTTTAGATTAAACTCATTAGAATGTTCGAATTTGAAACTTCTAAGTCAATATAACCAAGAGACTCCAAATTCTTACCAACTGAACTATCATTTGGAGGTTTTGTAAATATGTCTCATTAAAAACCGACAATTGAAAGCAATATTGTATTCTTACCAAAAAAAAAAACGAGTAAATAAAGAAAGAAAAACAATATTGGTACACACCAATTTTATTTGTTTGATACCAAAAATATTTAGAGTGAGAATTGTTTTGGTTAAGTATGATATAACTAATACAAATATAGCAAGGTACACACAAAAAAAGTACAAATATGAAAAGAAAAAAATTTGTGTGTATATGGTGGAGAACGGGAGTTATTTTCTAATTTATGATTGGTTTTTTTTTTTTCAGTTGGATACAAAATATATATGAGTGGGATTCACATCTATATTTATTAATGGCAGCGAGAAAATGACACTGTCTTTTTTTTTATTCGAAAGGATTTTGTATTTTGCTTTTTGTTTTTAAGAATTATGCTCATTTAATTACTTACCAATTTTATTGTGATCTTGGAATCTTCTTGAAAACGTTTTTTTCCTTTGCAAGAAAAGAAGAAGAAAGAAAACGTTTTTTCTTTAAATTCTATAATGTTAGTTATCAAAATTTTATTTTACACATTTAAAATGATTATCAAAATAACTCCAATATAAATACATCATCAAAGAAAATTTATATGCATAAAAGAGGGTAACTAGAAGTTAACTCGTGTTTAGTTTTAAAAGAATAAATAAATAAAAAATAAAAATAAACTCGTGTTTAGTTTTAAAAGAATAAATAAATAAAAAATAAAAATAAACTCGTGCTTAGTTTGTTCTAAAAATAGACAAAATAAACAAAGTGGGAGGTTTTAATTCAGAAAAAAAAGATAAAATAAATAAATACAATTGTCTCCTTACCGACAATAAACAGCTGGTCTTTACTATGTCATCATGGCATGGTTTGTATTTGGTGAATAAAAAGTATCTATTTATTTATTTATTAAATATATTCTAAAATAAATCAATAAAAGTGCATATTGAGTAGCTCCCTTTATTCATGAGGAGGCAAATTTTATTCTTACCTACACGAATTTAATACAAAGTTTTATCCACGCCTCGTGTTTGTAGCCTATTGTGTAGGGGTGGTGTTCATAAGTTTAATTGGATTGTATTTTGGACTCAACTCAATTGTTTGGATTATAAATTTCTACGACTCAAACAATCAAATTAACAATTTACAAGTATTAGGTAGAGTTATGTAGTTTTCGAATAAGTGTTTGATTAAGGTGGTTAAAAAAGTTGACCATCCAAAAATTTTAAATAACTAACTAAATCTATACCATTTTAGTTTGAGTTTAAAGTTCTTTTGGGTTGGAAATTTAACAAGGTTAAAAGTGTTAAGTATATTTTAAGTTAATACTAAATTTATAAAAATTATGATTATATATTATTGTGGGTTGGATTTTAGTTAGGGTTAGTTCAAGTTGGTGGACCTGATTTGATTCTTATGATTATTAAGTAGATCCAACCCAACCAGGTTAGATAGAAAAAAATGAAATCGACCTAACTCAAATAAGTTTTCAATAATCCAATCGAAATCGTATAGGTTGGATCAGGTTCCTAATGCTTTTTGAGTTGTCGATTTTTTTAATACTCATATTCTTATGTACACAATATAATAAAAAGAGATGAAGAGCGGAAAACTTTTGGTATTCCAATGGTACCTAGCCTCCATTCACATCATCGGTCGGTACATCGTTTTAGAGAAATTGTACTGCATGACAAATAATTAATTTTGACATATTTAAAAAAATGAAAGTACTAAAAATTTTCCACACAAAACATAGAAATGTTAAAAAAAAGTTGAAAGCAATAATACTTACCATTCCCCAAACAAGAAAGGGAAGTCCCCCAGTTGCATAGAGGACAATTGCAAGAGCCGTCGGATGAAGAATGTATGTTTTTCGAAGAAATCTATAGAAGGCTTGCTTCTGTAAATCCTCGACATTGTTCGGTCTTCCATACTTGACAAATCCCACAAAAATGTTGCTAAATCGTTTTCGTTTTGCATCTCTTTCCTTGAAATCTTGAACGTTTTTTGGACAAACCTTTTCGGTCAATGCATATGCATCAAACATCCAAATTATGTGACTAAACCAAAATCCCTCTAAAGGACTGTGTGGATCTCTTTCTGTATCGACAAATCGATGATGATATCTATGTGTACTAACCCAATCAATTGGATCACCCTGTAACATAATAAAAATAAAAAGAACTAAATCCAAATTACTAACGATTATTGTTGTTGTAGTAATAGAAGTAGTTAGTGTACCATTAGTACAAAATAGGTAAAAAGAAATGATATCACAAGAATCTAAACAATGTTAGAATCCATATAAATGAATTAAATTTACCCAACCCATTAAGCCTTTTGGGTTGAGTGGTGGTTTGTTCATCCTTAAGATGGTATCAGAGTCCACAAGCTCAAACGAGCATTTGGTCCAAAATGGGATCCAATCCAAAATTGATAAACCCAAAAGAGGCACCATCTTGAGGGGGCATGTTAAGGATCCCACATTGATAAAAGAGACTTGACAATGGTTTATAATAGACATAGACTACTCCTCTCATTGCTAATTGGTTTTGAGATGAAACCCGTGAATATTAATAAACAAGGTTTATATCTTGTTAGGTTAACATTCAATTCAAAAATGTCTACAGGGACATAAAATCCAGTCATTTAATATATTCAAAATGTACAACACAGACAAACCTGAAAGGCATGGACTCCAAGATAGGCAAACGCGTACTCGAGCCATTTGGGAAGCTTGAAACTTTTATGTGCGAGATTTCTATGGTACGAGAGTGTAATCCCGAACAGACCTGTAATAAAATACAATGCAAAGGCAACCCAAAATGCTGCCCAATTGCAATGAAACGGAGCCAAGAGAGAGAGCAAATGCAAGAACAAAATAGCACCAGCAGAACGTCGATCTAATATTGTCCATTTTCTCTTAAGAAGAGGCCGTCTTGGCTTAACCACTGAAAACGCCACCTTCTTATCTTTTTGATCTTCTACTTCTTTCCTTGTAGCCTCCATGGATGAAGCACAAGAGAAAAAACAGCTAGCCAAGAGAACAAACCAAGTTTGCTTCTTCTCCTACTTGTTGGTGTATTTATAGAGACTTACCACAATAATAGGGGTGGAGATTTCGAACTTACGACTCGGTAGAAAATAGGTGTCTTAACTAGTTGAGTTATATATTCAAGTGGACGTAATTAGTTTCTAAAGGTTATTAAATGTTTTAGGACCCATTTGATGATTTTTTTCATTTGTTTTCTTATTTTTGTAAGAAAAAAAATAGAATTAGATTTGGTAAGAGGCGTTTTGATAACATTCTTATTTCTTGTTTCTCGTTTCTCATCTCATGTTTCTTGTTTCTGATTTATTCTCTTCTTAATAAAAGGAAAACAAGGAACTATTTATTGTTTCTTATATATATATTTATTATGGAAGGAAGAAACATAAATATTTGGTTCTAGTTTTTTTTTCTCTACGATTTTAAATTAAAAAGATAAACGATTTATATGAAAATTAATTTAAAAAATTAAAATTAAAAATCTTTATGTTTTATTTATTTTTTAGATACTTATTCTATATTTTACAAGTAAGGAATGATAAAATAATGTTTTTATTTATGTTTTAAAAAAATATAAATAGAAAAATATTTCTTTACAAGGAAAAAATGACAAACAGTAACTATGTTTTTTAAAAACTAAAACTGAAAACGTGAAAGCGAGCCTAATTCAACGATAATTAGCATTACCTCTTATCAATCCGCTACTAACTTTCTTTGGTCCTTATCTTTCTTTTTTATTGATGACATCCTTTTGCGTTTTGTAAACCTTTCTGGGTTTTGTTCTCTCAAATATCACATTAAAAAAAAAGCGACATCAAAATTGTTTTATAAAACTATTATGCATTTTAAAAATATAAAATGATAAAATGATGTATTTATTAACACTAAACTTTCTTTTTCTTTCAAAATTTTATACACAACCATGAAAATATTTATCGAAAATGAGAAACGAGAGGAAGGACGGCTATTAAACATTTATATTTGTCGGAAAAATTGGAAACAATTTGTTAGAAATCATAACTATATCACGTCTGCATTAAAACAATTTCTTCAAACTATCAATCTCCATAAAACTCTTGATTGTATTGTAAAGTAATCAAATTAATGGATTCTGTCCTAAAAAAATAATAATAATAAAAAAGAGTAAATTAATTGGAGTAATATTTTCTTTCGAGGAGTATTTATGGCGTGTAGTTGGGGCAGGAATTGCTTTACTCTACTCTATGCCAAGACGTTGAACTGCCATAAATAACCTTATCTATTAAGGTTTGCAGAGTTTTTTTTTTCCTTCCTTTTTCCGTTAAATTTAGCGAGAGAGGATTGAAACTCCGACTTTTAAGACGATAGATATTTTAACCCATAAGTTAAACTCATGTCGACTAAAAAATTATTTTTTTAAAATAAATGGAAAAAATTCTCCAAAACATAACTATTAAGATAGGTTCCAATTTAGGGTTTCAACTCAATTTCTATTTGATTTATAGTTTAAATGTTATTATTTTAAGATTTCACAATGAAAATATAGGGAACCTAACAAAAATTTATAATATACATGAGGTATTTCTCTCCCTATGGATTGATTTCGAGGCTAAACTCATAAATGTTCGTATCAATAATTTACTTAAATTTCTCAAAACATGTATGTCCCTTTCACTTTTCTTTTCTCTCTCTATTTTTTTCTTTTTTTTTTTATGTTACACGATTTTCTAGCTAACTTACAAGTAAATAGGAAATGGATTGTGCAGGGAAAAAATGGAACTCGCCTAATATTTTCGCTCTATTCAACTGAAACCTAGGGCATTCAATTTATTATTACAATAAAGTTTAGATTTTGGTTTCTATGCTTTTTATTTCATATATGAACCTTTAAAACATTCATTTTAATCCATGTACTTTTCAATGTTTGTTAATTTTAATCATTGTAGTTTTGAAAAGTGATAATTTTGGCCTTTCATTTTTATTCATATCTCTTTTTTTAATCACAATTTTAGCATCACTCACTAAATTTCATAAAACGGAACTATAAATTTATATTAAAGAGTTTCTATTTTGTCTTAAATTTATATTAAAAATTTGCAAATAGAGAACAAAATTCTTACTTTTTTAAAAAACAGATACCAAAACAACCATTTTGAAAGTATGAAAACTAGAATGAACCAAAGTTAAAATATATAGATCAAAATAAAGGAAAAAAAATATCGGATTTATAAGTGTGCCTTTTATATAGAAATTTTGAACAAGCAAGAATAATCTATTTTGCTATTTTGCCCTTTAATTTTAATGTCTTCTCTATTATTTTATTGACAATTTGGTCCTTCAATCCTCACTCTCTTAAATTCCACTCACTTCTCCCCGTCCGAATCTCCTCAAATTTCACTAATTCTCTCTCATATCTTTCATGCCACCCCCTCTTCATCTTATTTTTTCTTTCTTTTTTTCTTTTTAATACCTTTAATTAAGTAAAAATGAACTAGGAAAAGAATGAGGAAAATAATGTGAAAAGTACTTTTAATAAAATTGTTTTCTATTTTTCGTAAAATTGATTATGAAATTAATGACTTTATCTTTAAATATATAATTAATAATGGAATTTAAAAAGTTATAATTCTTTTATGATTAAATAATTAGGTTTAAAAAAGTAAAAATATATTAAAATGAATAATTAGATGCATTCGTGATAAAAACAAAATTGAAATGACAAAAATGTGAAAGTCTGAATATATTTAATTATAAATTTATTTTTAAAAAGGAATTTATAAATTTATAACTATTACATTAATAACATATACCATCTTTCAGAAAATATTCTTGGACAATTTTATTTATATATAAAATTTTAAATTTAAAAATCATGTACTACTAAATTATATTAATTTAATTTAAATTATAAAATGCAATATGAAATTTTTTGTTAAAATAACTTAAATTAATTAACCTTTAATTATATTTAATTTTTGAATGGTAAAAGTTTGGAATTTCAACGAGTTTTGCAACTCTTTCATTATCCACCCCTATAAAATGATAATTTTTCACTATTGAGCTATTTATTCTTTCTTTACTCTTATTTCCCTTTAAATTTTTTTTGTGCTAAATCTTTCTTTTACACTCTCAAAAATATTATCGCCGGTAACATATAAAATTTTCTAACTTTTTTCTCTCCCCCTGATTCTTGCAGTTTCATTTCATCACCAATCACATATGAGTTCGTTGTCGGTACAATGATCAACTACTACTACTACAGTCGGCCTAAATCATGGTTCATCAGCGGTCTCCATAAAATGAAGCTTCATACCCTTATCTAAGAGTCANTTCTCGACAATTAATCTTTAATTTTTCAACATTCCCCTCACAACTTTCTGTCTCTTCCCATTATTTTGTCTCATTAATTTTCTCTCAAATTTATTGTTTTTTCATGAATTATTTTATTTTTAAATTATGCGTAAAATTAGAATGTAAATAGTTTATCATTAAAAAAGTAATATAAAGAGTTAGATTTGGTGCAGTTTTATCTTTCTATTTCTTTAAATTAATAATAAAAAAAGTTATGAGTTATTTTTAATTATAATTAATAAGAAAATTTTAAAATGTTGATAACTCATTATCTCTTACAAGTATATAACAAATTATTTCTCTTTTTATTTCCTCAGATATGTTTTCTCTTTTAGTCCATATTTTTCCTTTTTGTTGAAGAATCAAAAGGAAAAATAATATCAAGATTATGAGAATTATATTATTATATTATTGAAGGACGTTGGTTACACTTAATTGCTGAAAGAGAGGGGAAGCTAATGTGGTAAAGAAAAAGACCACGTGAGAGTGAGGGGAAGACAAAAGAGTGTACCTAAGGGTTTAATCTTTCTTTTATGTATTTGTAATTTATTTGATAAAATTTATTGAGTTATTAGGCTACGATAGATAACTTGGGTTTTTGTTTAGAATTTTCTAATCTGTATTATTTAAATAAATATATTTTAATTTATTAATCTTTTAAGTGAAATTTTAATGTAAACAAGAACATGTCTAGACAATTATAAATGTCAAATTTTATATTTTATTACTAAAAGTATGAAAAATTATTAACCAATACATATGTAATCAAGTCACTTGTCATTTTAAATTTATATTATTCTAATAATTTACATTACATTAATTAAGAAATCAATGACACTTTTATAAAAATAATTTATATTATAATTTGTAACGGTCTTATTTTTTTAATACTTTTATGCTTTAAAGGTACTACAAAACTTCACCTCCATCGGATGCAGTTATTGCTTACTAGTAAATAACAAATGGCACTACCATATTGTTTTCTACTTTTTCAGAGGGTACGTATTTCAATTACCGGTAGGAGTGAATATAAACTCCCACCTTAAAATAATTTTTATTTTAGACATTTTGTTTGAAAAAGTTAAACTCATTTATTCTTCCCACGGTCTATCTATCCGAGTATTTTTTAATACTTGATCGACATCCAGATGACTGAAAATTTTGGTTGCCCCACATCCTTCGGTAATCAGTATAATAATTTGGAGATATTTATGGGTCGAACTCCAACTTCGAAAGAAGGAATACGTGTCAATTATAACGGAGTTATGTTCGTGTTAATCATCCTTAGATAACCTTTTTTAACTTTTGTAAGAAAACTTTATTAGAAAACCTATAAGTGTATTTGGACAACTATTCACCAAATTTTTATTTTGTGTGGTTGATCCTTCACCATAGTTCATTAAATTTGTTTTACATCTATTAATCATATCTTAGTACAACTAAACATAACTGCATATACATAGATAGTCTAACAATGAACTAAATTCTTCTTTTTAAGTGGAAGAGTCGGCTCTTCTACTTAATATAATGTGGGACGTCCCACATTATATATTCAAGATCTAAATGGGGAACCACTTATACACCTTTTTAATTCAGGAAAAAATAGGATATTTAATACAAAACTAGTGAGTGTAAATATTTTAGTAACTTTTGACATGTAAGTTAGAATTACTCAACTCTAGATAGAAAGAAGTCTACAACTCAAATATGAGAAATACCAATCTCACATTCCATCATTCTAGTGATATAAATTATTTCTTAATGGATTTATAAAGAAATGACAATTATATAATATAGTTTAGGCTTATAAAATGACATTATTGAATATGACACTCCACTTTCATGTTTCTACATAAATATTTTTGATGAAGCTATTTATAATATTCACAAATAAGTCACTTCAACGGTGTCATAACTCAATAGGAAAATGCACACAACCTATCCTTATTTTGCAAATTACCATTTTGATTGTTATATCTTAAAATCACCATATCCTCTTGGTTTGTTCCGTTTGAGTAAGGACACGATCCTAACAATACGGTAAGAAGAACACAAGAACACAAGTATTTTAAATGTATTGGAAATGTTAGTAAAATGTTGAAGAATCCAATCAACATTGAAGCTGATTTCTATCTTGATGAAGTCACATTTTGATATTTAATTTAGGTTGCATAATTAATTAGGGGTGATGAAACTTTTCCAACGGTCTTATGTTATCGCGTCAAAGGTAGGAGATTCGAACTCACGACCTTTTGGTCAAACATAGGTGCCTGAACCCGTTGAGCGTTATCGTATTACTAAACATGTTAAAATGCTTATATGGATATATCACATATATAAGTGTATCCATATTGTTTTGGAGAGAAGAAAAAAACACCCTCGCTCACAAAATTAGTGTCCATTGTAATAAGAGAAGTAGTATCCCCTCAAGATGGTGTCCTTTTGGGTTCACAAATCTTGACCGAATCTCAGTTTTTGAACCGAATGCTCGTCTGATCAGCTTTTAGAATCTCATACCATATTAATATTCATGGGTTCCATCTCAAAATTACCTTTTGACAATGAAAAGAGTAGCTCATTTATATTATAAACCCTTATTAGATCTTTTATCTTTTCAATACGGAATAGTTAACAAAATTTTAATACAGGAATAACATTAATCTTGATAATACTTCCGGAGGAAAAAAAACACTCACTCACAAAGCATCAATACTTGGACAATCTCTTAAAGAACTATCAAATTCTTTTATGGTCCATTGCCAACTTTTGCTTTTGGCCTTGAGATGGTAATTTCACATCAGTGGCCAATCCAATAGTCTGAAGGAACAAGACAACCCACCAAGTCAAGTCAAATTCCCACCATTGAAGACCATGTCGAGCTGAATATTCAAAGGCATGGTGGTTATTGTGCCAACCCTCCCCAAACGCAAGCAACCCAAATACCCTGTGAACAAAAATACCAATTTGATCATAAATATGATTATTAAGAAAAACAAATCAAATCTAAAGCAGAAACATGAGAAAGAGACAACACCAATTGTTCTTGGACAGATCGGTCGTGTTCCATCGTCGGTAGCCCCATATGTGGCATGCAGAATTTATAAAGAAAGTAATGTGCAGAAACCAAACAAGCCTCACCCCCTGCCATGCAATGCCATCAACGATCATATCAAACTCTCATTAGAACTAATATACCATTCTTAAAATTTATTATTCAAATAAAATTGACACACACCAATATTCGTGTATGATGAGGAGTAAATATTTAAAAGGGTGTATTTAAAATGTGAAAATTTAAATTAAAAAATAGTTCATAAACTAGCTAAACCATCATTATAAAACATGATCTAACTATATAATAAATAGATCAATGAAAATGAATTATAATCGCATAAAAAAGTAAGAAGAAGTTTGAATTTTCTTCTAAAAATAAATAAGTGGGAGCTTTTAATTACTAATTACAAGTACTTGTCTTTTACAATGCATAATAAATAGGGGATGCAGAAATTCAAATGTTAAAAATGGAAGTAGATGAAAGATAGCAGTGTTCAAGTTACCATTCCCCAAACAACAAAGGGAAGTCCTCCCATGGCATAGAGGACAAGTGCAAGAGCAGTGGGATGAAGAATGTATGTTCTTCGAAGAAACCTATAAAATGCTTGCTTTTGTAAATCATCCACATTATTTGGTCTTCCATACTTGACTTGTGCCACAAATATATTGCTAAAACGCTTTCGTTTAGCGTCTTTTTCCTCGAAATCTTCAACATTTTTGGGGCAAACTTTTTTGGTCAAAGTATAGGCATCAAACATCCAAGTTATGTGACTAAACCAAAATCCTTCTAAAGGGCTATGTGGATCTCTTTCGGTATCAACGAACTGATGGTGATACCTATGTGTACTCACCCAATCAATTGGATCACCCTATCATGTAGAATAAAAAATTTTAGTAATAATGAAGAAATGATAATAACTCTAACACATGTACAGTTATATATGAAATAAGAATAAAACAATTGGTAATGATCCGCGTTGAAAAAATAATAGATCTAACAAAAATCTATAATATAAGTAGGCTACTTTTCTCATTGTCAATTGATTTTGAGATAAAATACTATTAATATTGATATGGTATCAAGGCATGTTAAGGATCCCACATTGTAAAGATAAACCACCTAACAAAGGTTTATAATATAAGTGGACTACTCGCCTAGTTGTTAATTGGTTTTGAGCATGAATAATTTTTCTAAAGGAAAAATAATTTCACTTAGAGAGTATGTGAGGAGCATACAAAAGAAAGAGACTATAAAAAAGAACTTTAGTTTAGCGAAGTGGTAGATATATCATAATTAAAAAAAGGATGTGAAAGATCGCTTGTTTCTTTCCAACCAAACATACCAAAGAACAACATCATCACCAACACAATTAGACCATATAGGAAGATCAAGAACTCCATGAATATTAATAACAATGAAAATAGAAAAAAAAAATGAATTAATATAATGTCAGATCATCATTGCAAAAGTAAAAAACACTAAACTTGAAAGGCATGTAGTCCAAGATAAGCGAACAAATACTCGAGCCATTTGGGAAGCTTGAAACTTTTATGTGCGAGATTTCTATGGTACGAGAGTGTTATTCCAAATAGACCTGTAATAAAATACAATGCAAAGGCAACCCAAAAGGCTGCCCAGTTGCAGTGAAATGGAGCCAAAAGACAGAGCAAATGCAAGAACAAAATACCACCAGCCGAACGTCTATCCAATATTGTCCATTTTCTCTTTAAGAAACCTCGTCTGGGCTTCAGCACAATCCCATCTGAAAAACCCACCTTCTTAYACTCATTTTTATCTTCAAGCTCTTTCCTTGTTGCCTCCATTGATGAAAAGTACAAGAAAAAGCTAAGACAACACGGCAACTTTTCTTTGCTTCTCTACTACTCATGTATTTATAGTGAGAGAGTTAAACGAAACAATATCGATTTACCGATAAACACCTAAATAATATTAATCTTTTTAAAATATGTATGGACTAAATTACAAGTTCATTTCTTTTTTAAAATTATGGGATATAATCTTAAAGTTGAAAGATATATTAGACTTAATCGTAAAGGCTCAAACTAAACCAACAAAGCTGAAGAGTTTCCAGAATCTCAAAAATGAATAAACCATCACTCAACCTAAAAGTTTAAGCTAATAAATTAGGTTAATTTAATTCATATATCGGTTATCTAACACTCTCCTCTGCACTTGTTGTGGGGAGGTTCGAACACATGATCTCCCCCTCTGATACTATATTAAGCTAATAGGTAGGATAAATTTAATTCAATAGTTAAAAAGCATTGTTTCAAACGTGGAGAGTGAAATTTTTATGCTTAGTATTTAAGGCTTTGTGGTTAGTTGGGACAAGAGTGGACCTTATTGTCAGGCCATTGAAATGTCATAAATGATTGTCTATGAAGCTAAAATTTTAAGACAGAGAAGAAAAGAGATTAATAATTACCATTTCAATCCTTGTGCTTTGAACTTAGTTTAATTTGATTTGTTTTTCAAAATTTTGTAAGAGTTTCCAGAAGTAGCACCTTGCCCGTTAAACGAAATTGTTTCAAACCATGAAGAAGTGAAATTTTTATGCTTAGAATTTATGGCTTACGGTTGGTTGGGACAGGAGTGAACTTAGGCTCATTCAGCTGTCATAAATGACTATCTACGAAGCTAAAATTTTAAGACAAAAGAAGAAAATTAGAGATTGATTTGTCATTTCAATCCTTGTGCTTTCAACTTTGTTTAATTTGATTTGCTTTTCAAAGTTTTCTTCTAATCCTTCCTTCTTTTTTTCTTTAATTAGTTCACCGACATATAGATAGAGGAATTTGAACTTCGAAATTTTTTACCCATCTGTGAAAATACCAATGGAATTATATTCAAATTGTTATATGAAACAAATTTTCTACGTAGTACATTTGGTAATTAAGGAATAAAGGATGTTAAAGAGATAAATAAACTGACATTCAATTTAGTGAGGTATTAGGAATTTATTGCCAAAGAGTTGATTTAGGTAAAAATAAAAACAATAGCCTTTTGGCGTCCATGACTCGATTTTTAAGGCTAATTGTATTAAAATTCCAATTGTGCAAAAATAATGAAAAACAAATAAATTTTCGAGCAAAAGAAAACTGGATGCGTAGAACCGAGAATAATTCCAATTGTTAAGTTGTAAGTTTGAATTCTTYCTCTCATGTATTATTGTATTAAAAAAAATTCTTACATTCACATGAGATATTGAATTTGAGGGGAATAATTATGAACTACAATAAATATTAATTTTGGTAGGAAAACCAAAATAAAACAAACCTACATGAACAAATATTCTAGAATAATGGAGCGACTCAAGATAATATGGGATTTATGTGAATTTTTATATACGTTAAATTACAACCATTAGTCAAATAGAAAACATCAATATTGTAATCTAAAAAATGGGTTAGTATAGCATAATTTGTGAAGTTTTGACACTAAATTATAATCGGAATGAATTTAAAATTTCTAATCAAAGACCAAATTGAAGTTATCTCTTAGCCATAGAAATTAAATTGAAACCTTTAAAGACTRAGGAGACTATAATTAAAATGATGTTATAACCATAGGATCAATTTTTTTTTATAAGACATCGGGATCAGATTAATAATTTGACATAAAGTATATTGTCCAAATTTTATTTTTCTTATGCAAAAATATATTTGATAATGAAAATTTATTAAAATATCCTTTTCAATAAATGATATTGTCAAATCTTCATCTCTCTGACACATAATTGACTCCTGGTACAATTTACATTAATTTTAGTTTTGGAAAAACTTCTTTCAAGTATTTTTTTTTAATGATATTTTTGAAGCAATATATGCATTTGACATGTTTGGGGAGATTATCGAAGCAAATTATTGACATGGTTTTAAAAACAAGTTTGTTTGATAACAAATCAAACAAATCAATTTTATATTTTCTGTTTTTTAAAATCGTTTTTGAAATCCTTTATAAATTTAAAAAACAAAAAAAAATGGTTTTTAAAAGTAGGTTTTTATTTTTCAAAATCTAATTTGTTTTTCTTTCCATTTTTTTTCCTTTGACATATTTATCTCTAATAATTTCTTCCTCCTCAAAACTATTTTTATACTTAAATTTTTCTATTTAAAAAATTTTATATTTCTCTCTCTAAAATTTTCATCTCTTAATATTCCTCTCCCTCTCCAAAATTTTGAGTAGTATATATATATATTTTTTTTCCTAACACATTACTTTTTTCCCACTAAAAATTTAATATTTTTCCAAACTTTCTTATTCTCAAATTTCACATTTTATAAATTTTCTTTTTTTGTCTAGTATATTTTTTCTCTAAGAAATATATCTCAACTTTTCTCTATCTAAATGTTTTGTCCTTCAATTTTCTTTATTTATTTTCAGTAACAAATATTTTTTTGAACTTTTTCTTGTCCAAATTTTGTTCTTACCATAATTTTTCTTTCTCTTTCTAATTTTTTTTATTTAACATGTCTTTTGATCTCAACTTTACTCTCTCTAGAATTTTTTATTTTTGACTTTAACTTTTCTCTCACTAAATTATTTTTCTAACTTTTCTCTAACTCTCTAAAGTTTACTCTCTCTAAAATTTTTCTTTCAAAAGTTTTTCTTTTCTAAACATTTATTTTCATGTCTCTACATTAGAGACGACAAAAATTCTCGTAAGATCGAGCCTGCACTTTAAGAACAGAAAATGAATTTCTCATCATGTCCCACCTCCCATTCTATTTTTAAAATAATTCATATATATTTTATTAATTGTTTTACTAAATTATGAGTAAATATTTACCTAATTATTTATACTAGTAAATAATAATTTTTTAGTAAAATAATATAAATTATATATCCTTATTGTTTTTTATTTTTTAAATTCTAAAAATAATTAAAATTAATTATTAAACCAATAATTTTTACTGTGAAGATACTCGCCCCCAGATGAGGATTCCTGAACCTAGACCTCGATTATCAAAATCAGAGAACGGGTTGGAGATGAGAATTTAAAATTTTGTGGAAGAGGGCATCCCGACTCCTTTCCCACACTGTTGTCATCTCTAATATTTTACATTATTTTTTCTATCTCTAACCTATATTTTCCATTTTCTAATTTTAAAAAATAGAAAATAAAAAATGATTATAAAACATATGTTTGATTTTCATTTTTTCAAAACAAAATAACAAAGGTACCAAACATATATCATTTTTATTTTTTAAAGACAGGAAACTAAAAATACAAAACAACATATAAACAAAAAAAAAAAAACAGAAATGATTATCCAATGGTCTTTAAGAAATTAAGAAAATATGAAAGGAAGGTTCGCTAATAATTGACTTTTCAATAGTGGTTGCATTTATGTTGATTTTTTTCAATAGATTTTTTTAAGTCCACAATAAACATTGATCTTTCTATTATTTTCGAAAAAAAAATCTGTATATAACTAAAGTAATTAAATATAAATTTATGTCATTGCAAGGAAATTCAATATAATAATAATTTAAATATTTGGATGACTATCTTCTATTATAAAATTATAGACTAAAATAAATAGATAGTATTATTCATATATATTATATGGAAAGAGAAAAATAACGCCTTCCAAAATGGGAGACTTTGGATGGTCGCATCATTTTCATACACCTTAAGTAGCACAACTATAATATACAGTACCAATATTTCTATATATATTTATACGAAAAGAGATATTTTCCCTAAAATGAAGTCAGAAAAAGGAAACCCTAAAATGAAAACATCGAATGAATTATTACGATATATTAGGCTAATTTAAACAATAATTACACTTCTTTAATGGAACAAACAGAGTAGGTGGAAATCTTTAAGTTTGATAAACTATATCTACCTTTCCAACCTTGAAGGACTCGAACGAGTAAAGAAAGAAAAACAAAATCATCGTCCTTGCAATTCTAAATTTACGAGCACCTCAAGTATCTCCACAATGGTATGATATTGTCTGTTTTGGGCATAGTCCTCACGGTTTTGCTTTTGGTTAAAATCGAAAAGGTTTCATACCAGTGGAGATAATTGTCCCCCCTTATATACCATGGGTCACCCATTTCCGTAGCTAATGTGGGACTTTGTTTGCACTTCTTACAAACCCAACAAAGAATAGATTATCTCGTGTGATCTATTTATAATACTACCGAGACACACAATCGTCGAGCTATAAGCTCGTTGATAGTGCATGGAAATAGCTTGCATGGTCATTGTCGATTTTAAGTACCCTTGAGGTCAGAGCTAAGATATCTTGTTCTATTGTATCAATTTCTTTAAATTGGAGTATCTTCATGTATGAGCCTTTTATTTTTGTATATTCCTCACATACCCATCTATGAAATGATACTTTTTTCCCAAAAAAAAAGAGAGATATCTTGTATAACCGTGCAAACGGGCAAATCCACGAAGGGAACGAGGCATGTGCCCCTAATTTTTAGTTAAATTATCTACATTGGTGTACATAATATCAAATAAAAATGCCAACATGAGTATAACTCAACACTAATTGACAATACTTCTGAAAAAGAAGGTAATTAAGCAGTGTTTGGACAGAAACACAGATTTAATTCACACTTCAAGAACTAATCAGAAACTTGAGGGTTGAAAGATTGAAAAGCTTGATTAAATGGTTACTAATGTAACCCCTTTTTAATCAGCACATAGACGGCATGAAACTAATAAGGAAAAATACAAATAGTAAACCTATGATTGCTGTACAAAAGGAAAATAATCAAAAGAAAATAATTCTAACGGTAGTGTCCAAAATTATCAAAGAATTGAACCTAATTATGA